ATTCTTCCATTAAGGTCCCACTTCCCACCAAATGTTATTTTGTTTTTTCTTCTATGATTATATGCTTTTGACTTGTATTTGTTTATAATCTAATCTTCTTTTTTTACTCCAAACAGCTATATTCTGAAGCAGCATGAGCTTCTTCATTGGTGGCTACTGAATTCTTGAGTTTGTTTCTGGAGCTTTTGTCTCAATAAGACTTTGAGGAGTGTTTTTGAAGTTTAGATTCTTTTGAATCTCCAAATGCTAAGTTTCTCTAGAGTTAGAAGTCAAGGAAGAAACACAAGACCTCTTGCAGGAGGTTAGTCAACTAGAGTCACGTTTCTATTCGACAATATGAGTTTTTGAAATGTGTTAGATTACTTAAAGGAACATTCTTTTTCTTTGATTCTGAACATTTCAGGGATGGATTATTTGGAACCCAAAAGGAAGACCAATGTCGTGGGGAGGATTATCTTGGTAGTTTCTCTTACAGCTTTGTGCATTATTATGCTCAAGCACGCACCGAGTTTCACATCTCCAACCGCGGTAATTCCACAATCCTATATGCTTGAATCTGATTCTTAAAATGGTTCTTTTAGTTGATGTTTTTGTAAAACTTAGTCTTACTGTGATTTGTTGTTCTTCACAGTTCTCTCGTAGCGAGGAAGGAGTGACTCATGTATTAGTCACTGGTGGTGCTGGATATATCGGATCACATGCTGCATTGAGGCTGCTTAAGGATTCATACCGTGTAACCATTGTGGTAAAGTTTATTTCTTTGACTGTATTTGACAAATCCATTGGGAAAGGAAGTAGTCAAACTGCAATGTTCGGTTTTGTAACACTTGTCTTTTTGCCTGAAAAAAAACAGGACAATCTTTCTCGCGGGAATCTTGGCGCTGTCAAGGTTTTACAAGGATTGTTCCCAGAAGCTGGGAGGCTTCAATTTATTTATGCTGACTTAGGAGATGCCAAAGCTGTAATCCTTCACATCCCTAAGATTCGTTTGATCGTTTTTTCTAGTATTAGTTTTGTTTTCTTATACGGGACATTTTAGGTCGATAAAATCTTCTCAGAGAACGCATTTGATGCTGTCATGCATTTTGCCGCGGTAGCCTATGTTGGAGAGAGCACTCTAGATCCTCTAAAGTACAACCTCTAACCACTATCATGTTCTTAACATCTCTGCAAGATTGGAGTTCTTTGTGGTTAATCTCGTGTAAAGTTACTGATAGAAAAACCCGATTTTTCGTTCTGTAGGTATTACCACAACATTACATCAAACACATTAGTAGTTCTTGAAGCTGTGGCTAGACATAAAGTGAAGAAGTTGATATATTCAAGCACATGTGCCACTTATGGAGAACCTGACAAGATGCCTATCATTGAAGTTACTCCACAGGTACTCAACAGTTTTTCGAGTAATTCCTCTCTTTTTCATGATCTTGTCTCATCAGATTTTGCAATTATCGATTTTCAGGTCCCGATTAACCCTTACGGGAAAGCTAAGAAGATGGCTGAAGATATGATCCTTGATTTCTCTAAGAACTCTGACATGGCAGTCATGATCCTAAGGTAAAGTTCCATGTTTCTTGACTTTCTTAGAAGCCTTTACAAGTCTCTGATTCCGGTCTGATTTCATCAACCAAACAATGTCTGATGATATTTTTTACATTCATAGATACTTTAACGTGATCGGTTCAGATCCAGAAGGTAGATTAGGAGAAGCCCCAAAGCCTGAACTACGCGAACACGGAAGGATTTCAGGTGCTTGTTTCGATGCAGCTCGTGGCGTGATTCCAGGCCTGCAGGTCAAAGGAACTGACTATAAAACAGGAGATGGAACCTGTGTTCGTGACTACATTGACGTTACTGACCTTGTCGATGCTCATGTGAAGGCTCTCGAGAAAGCTAAGCCTAGAAATGTCGGAATCTACAATGTAGGTACCGGAAAAGGAAGATCGGTGAAAGAGTTTGTGGAAGCTTGTAAGAAAGCAACAGGAGTAGAAATCAAAGTAGATTTCTTGCCTCGAAGACCTGGAGATTACGCAGAGGTTTACAGTGATCCGTCAAAGATTCTAAGAGATCTAAATTGGTCTGCTCGTTTCACTAATCTTCAAGAAAGTCTTGAAGTTGCTTGGAGGTGGCAAAAGACTCATCCCCATGGTTATGCTTCTTCCTAAAGACACAAAAAAAAAAGTTTTTAACTTTTCATTTTTTTGCATAATTGTTTTTGAGAGATTAGCTTATAGAAAGGAAAATTGATTTATTACAGACTTTATACAGTTCAATAATTAACATTATGGTTATTTAACACAGTTTTTGTAATATTCAATCAATGACTTTATATATATACAGAATTTAATAGTGCCAAAAAACAAAAAATACAGAATTTTTAATAATGCAATTTTGTGGCACTTTCTAATCAAATTACAACAACAAAAAGTGTGTTGTTTGGGTTTAAAGTTTAAATTACATGTTCTTTTGGACTACATAAATCTCATACGAAGGTGGCTCCATAACAAATACATATTTTGTGGCCATAAACTCAACCTTTATGTGCTTGGACTTAAGACAGATTCATGAGAAATGGCAAAAGTTGTATTAGGACATCCTTGAGACAAGCCCATTGTAGTGCTAACAAGTCTAGGGAATTGTT